GTATCTTTTCTTGGTCCCTACTGATAACATCCTTTCTCACTTTTTTTCAACTAGTACCCCCCATGCACCCCTTTACTTTTGTTTGAGCCATGTATTTGTTCCTGGATTCTTAGAAATTGTTGTTATCCTGTCTTGATAAAATATTTTGGCCTTTATTATGCATATCGTAGTTGGTTTTAGTTTATCATTATCTTTTAGTAGTCCTCTTCTGCAGAATTTTGATGAGTTTTTTGCATCTCTTCTTTTTATCCTTTTAGGGTTGTCGTGGGAGTTACTCTATTGCCATCCTGAACCTTTCTTAGAAAACATGAGAATATGATTACCTTTTTAATGAAATACAGTTGCTTTTTAAATGGAAAGCTTCTAAACCCTTTGGTCCACCATCCACCAGCTGTGGAAACTTGGGGGAAGTTTCTGAGCCTCTCTGCCCATTTGCTTATCTGTAGCATAAGCTAATAACACCATTGCTTTATAGATACTGGGACACAGGAGAAAATTTCCCATCTCTTTGTTTTTCTCAGGCTAGATGATTAGTCACACAGTATTGGGTTTGCTAAAGAAAAGTCAATTTAATAACATATGTAGGGGCCCTCCATGGTGGTGCAACTAGTTAAAGTACAGCACTGTAAGCTAGCTGCAGCCACTTGAGTGCAAGTTTGATCCCCAGCCCTGGAGGTGACCCTCATGGCACAGCAGACCTATCCTGACCTGCCTCCTGCTCCTCTCAGCAGTGTATTTTAGTCAGTCTGCCAGTTCTGCTCCCCACTCTGTCTCACCATCCCTGTACCTCTGGCCAGCACCCAGTTTGTATACATAAATAAATAAATCTTAAAAAAATAAAATATCCATAGGAAGAATTTACATGGGTGTGAATTCAGAAGAATAATGGGACAGACTGGAAATACTTAATGTGTGTTTAAGATCTGGACCATGAAGGCTAGAGAAGGTGTGACTTCAAGTGACAGAAAGCAAGGGGTGACGTCGTCTTTACTCTGAGCATAAAGATGAGCTTACCTAATAAAGAAGGCAGATTTGCCAATGAATATGCACTTGGCTGATTACCCCAAATTATATTCTATATGAACCTCACTTCTAAGATGTGGTCTTTCTGGTACCTCATGGAGAAATATGCTCAAAAAGTAGAAAGAGGTTGTCCCAAGATTTTCCTGGCACAGTGTTCGGAGTGTGTTTATTCCACACATGTGCTTACATTTGCACTTATGTACAAATCTGTCGTACAAATATGTCGTAGGGAAAGACCCATTATCCATTTTCCTATGATCACAACATTCTCTTTCTTCACAGTATGTGACAAAGTACTATCCTTACTTGCCAGTTTTCATTTGATTAACTTTGTATCTGGCATTGCAAGTTTTCTTTTTAACTCTTTTTTTTTTTATCTCCTGCTGCTTCTCTCATAGATGATTAGAAGTAGAAATGGAAATATACCAGAAACTAATTCATATGAAAAGGAGTTATCTTTTCTCACCCTAAGCACATACACATAAACAAGAAAAGTGAACAACAGCAACTAACTTTCATTTCTTCGAATAGATGATAGCTTTTGTTCTGCCCTTTGAAGGAAGAGTTATGGCAATAAATGTAAATATATGTCAGTGCGAGCCAGCTGGCTATCTGAAGTGAGTATCAGCTTTCTGGAAGGAGTGGAGACATTCCCTGTCATCTTTTTATTTGGAATTGTCTGACTTCTAGAGAGCATTTCTCTTACTGCTCTACTGCAATGCTGCGGTAAAAGCAAACACACACATTTCTTAGAAACAGATTGTTAGAGAATTTCTTTCCAAGGTTTGAATAAAAAGCTTTAGTTTATGCTGGAAATACTTGATTCTAAACCTCCATATTCCTCAAGCGTCAGTTCATATTGAGGGCATAAAGACAACTGCTGCTGAATTTGCCCTCCTTTAGTAATCTAGAAAACCAGATAATCTGGAAGGCAGCTGTTACCAGTCATTGGCAGGCAGAACTGTGATCCTTGAAAGAAGAGAAGCACATGATGGTAGATCTACTTTTGCTCTGGAATTTTCTGCTGTTACTAGAGGTGGAGCCTTAACAAAGCATGGTGACCTGCCAGAACTCAAGGCAGTTAAAGATGGCTGGCAGGGTAACTGGAGAGGAGGGAGCTACCTGAGGGGAACCCAGAAGCTGGCACTTGTGAGCTCCAGCAGAGATCTGCTGCTTCCAGGCTAGGAACAGAAACCATCCCAGACAGAAACCATCCCCAGAAATTAGGTAGTATGGTGAGAAGTGGAAAGTTGGATGAAGAGGTGAAGAGACTGCTCTGAATACTTTCTTCATTCCATGAGGCACTGGAAAGATCACATCTTAGGAGTTAGGGTCATGTCTTTGAGTAAGGGCCATATTTTTGAGACCGAGGACATAGTAGAAGTAGACCCATCTTAACAAAAAATAAAGCCAAAGCTGACAAAATTAAGAGGACTGACAATAATTTAGTTGCCATCAGAACCAAACTGAACATCTAATTGACTACTTCATAGAAGAAGCATGCAAAGAAGTAGAAAAATGTGACTTATATCAAATGAAAAGTCATCAATAGAAATAGTTTGAAATGGTGTTATATTAGCATTATTCTCCATGGAAAGGATTAGGGATTGTTTTCAAAAATGGCTGCATCTATCAGAGGTAAACAAGTACAAGATGAGCCCAAGACTTTTGTTGTGTCAGAAGGTTAAGGAAATAAAACAATAAAAAAAGAAACAATTGGGGCATGTCACAAAGACAAAGGAGCAACCTTGTAAGGAATTCCACTAAGTATGAGACAATTGGGTCACTGAAATATTTTATATAGCCATAATGATTACAGATAAGTAATGTGGAATGCTGAGTGCTGAATGGTAATGTGGGGAGATTGCTGGACTTGAAACATTCATGTGCGTGTTGCTGCCATTATAATAAAGTTTCACCTTGATAAAGGATCACCAATGACTACTAAATCTAGGGGAACACTTTTTTTCAGATTTACTTATTTATGCATATAAGAACTGAGGTATAGGCCAGAGTTGTAGGGGAGGTAAGAGGATTCCCCAGAGACAGAGTGGGGAGCAGAACAGGCAGATCTACTGAAAAACACTGCTGAGAGGAGCAGTGGGGCGGGTCAGGGGAGGTCTGCTGCACCAGTGGGTCACTTCCCAGCTGGGGATTGAACTCATGCTGCAGTGGCTATAGGTAGGTTCATAGTGCTGTGCTTTAACCCCCTGAGCCACTAGAAAGGCTCCAAGTGTAACCATTTTAATGACAAGATATTTTCATGATATAGAGTATATCTCTACAGATTATTTATTAGAAGCAAGGGAAAAATTAATTTTTCTTTGGATAAGTGGAATAATTCCTTGACAGTGTGCTGAGATTAACATTGCCAAGGAGGGAGAGATAAACTTTAGACTTTCAGATGTGACAACCACACAAGAAAATATCACCTCTGTAGTTATCTTTCTGTAATAAAGGACCTTGACTAGATTTTGAAGAAATACCAGGCAAGTCAAAATGTTAATGTTCCATTTCTAAAAAAAAAAAAGAGGGGAGGGCTGCGTTCTTCTAAAGTGTCAGTGTCATAAAAGACAAGGAAAACCATGTTTTATATTTAAGGAAACTAAAGAGAAATGGCAGGTAATAGCAATATTTGACTCTGATCTAGACCTTGAATTGGAAGAAAAAAATAATACTAATACTATGAAGTACATTACTGGAATTATTGAATATGTTGGTAGATTATTGTATTAATTACATTTATTAAAGTTGGTAATGACTTACGATTAAATAAGAATATACCTATTCTTTTTTTTAAAGATTTATTAATTTATTCATACAGGACGGGGGTATAGGCCAGACATGCAGGGGCAGTGAGAGGATTCACCAGAGACAGAGTAGGGTGCAGAACAAGCAGATTGATGAAGTACACTGTTGAGGGGAGCAGTGGGCAGGTCAGGAGAGGTCTGCTGTGCCATGTGGGTCACCTCTGGGGCCGGGGTTGGGGGGGAATCGAACTCATGCTGAAGTGGCTTTAGTTTCTTAGTGCTGTGCTTTAACCTGCTGAACCACCAGGGAGAGCCCTGAATATACCTATTATTAAAAAAATAACTTCTGAAGTATTTGGAGATAAAGAGCCATGATGTATAGAACTTATTTTTGTGTGGTTCAGGGTAAGTATTTTGAATGAATGTGTGTGTCTGTAGAGTGAGTGAACAATTTCCTACATTTATGTATGATTAAATGTTGATAGTAGATGAATTTGGTAAGGAGTATGTGAACAGTGTTAGCATTGTTATATAATTTTTTTCTCCCAGAAAGCTAGAAATGATTCCTAAATAAAAAGGTTAAAGATTTTCAGCAGGTGCAAGTATGATTTTAAGCCAAAGGAGGGTTATGTGAAAAAGGCATATACATGTTTGTTATCTTTGTGTGTACTTTCTGCCCTTTGAGCTGTCTATTGTAAACATTCAGTCTGATGGCTGTGTCTTTGATATTCAACAAGCAAAGCCATTTCTATAGCTGTTGGCTAACAAAGTATGTCTAGTGCCAGAAGAAATAGTACTGTTTTTCAAGTTGAAATCATCATATCATTTGGTGTCACGGAAGAATTTGGACAAAGTCTTACAAATAAATTCTAGTTCCTCTTATAAATGTGCCAGCTGATTCGTCTTGAGAAAATTCTCTAATGTTTGGGAACTTAAACTGCTACATTGTAAAGTAATAATTGCCCTTTCTCAAGATCTTATGGCTCAAAAATGTAAATGCATTGGAAAGCTTTTTGTAAATAATAATGATTTCTTCGAAAAACATTAAATTAATAGTATTGACTCCTGATGAAAAAAGGCTCCAGCTAAGGTAGAGATCTTCCTTGTCAGGTTCTTCTTTTTCCTTTTAAATGTCAAGATTGATTATACAGGAGAGTTTCTTTCCCCACTGGACCTTTTCATTCCTTTGCTTGCCTCCTTTCTCATTTCCTGTCCTTATTATTCCAGGTAAATCTTCAGTGGATCTTCAGAGGGAGTGGTGGATTTTCTGAATTTCAATAGCAGTAAAGTAGAACATAGCAGAAAGGGTAGAAAAAAAAAGACAATAGGTAAGTCAAATCTAATGCTATATCCATTCTCAGATATTTCATGAAATTCTTCAGAATTTTGGTCCTGCTATGTCCTGATGGATGGAGGATCTTCTAGGTCTCTGAGGTGCCACAAGTCCAAATCAGCCAAGAAGAGGCCAGTATGATTGGGACAGGGAAGAAAAAAGGGATTGAAGAGTCCAGTTCCAGCCTCTTCAGTGGAGATGGCTGATGTGGGCCATGGTGGTAGAAGTATGTGAAACAAAGTAAATATTGTCTGTGTGAGCCTGGCAATGACAAAAACTTGATGTGCTGTAGCATCTGAAACCACAGAAACTCTGAAGGACGTATTCCAGTGGGACCTGTGAGAGTTATTTGGGGCCAGGTCTTTTCCTTTAATCTGGACTTTAGTTTTGACTGAGATGCTTCATCCTGGAAGATTGTGGTATCAGGTCTGCTGACTTCTCTCAAGTTGAGTAGATGAAGTCAGTGCTGCTCAATTTCTGAATTGTGATGATGAGCTTGCCTAGAACATAAACCAGCAAATTGCTTTATTTCTTGAAAAATTCTTGCCACTGAATGGAACAGTTAGTTGAACCAAATGGTGTTAGTTTTGGTAGTTGATTTTCATTCTGACTTGTAATTATTTGTCTGTCTATATATCCAAATGATAAATTGCTTAGTTTTGTTGACTTTTAAGCTTGACAAGAGTTTTCTAGCGGCATGGGTGGTGTGGCCACAGTGGCAGAACAGTGACCGTGGCTGTGAGCAGCAGAATCGAGGCACCTGTTTGGACAATGGGTGTGGGCTGGCTCCTGGCCTGCCATCAGGAGAGGGGTGTCCTGGCATTCCCCCTTTCCCCCCAGCAAAGCAGGTGTGGCAGTTTGCAGTAGAAGCACCTGCTGTGAAATTGGAACACAACCAACTCCTTTCCTGAGTGATTACTGTCTCTGTGACTCCCTCTGTCATGGGGACATGGCAGGATTAGTATTGGACATAGAAACTGAAGGTGCTTTAGAGCTGGAATTCAAAGTTAGGGTTACACAACCCCTCTTCCAGAAGAAAACATCATCCTAGTAAATATAGGGCTTGTCTCCCTGAAGAAAGTGAATCCTGATAACTTGACAGAAAGGCCAGATTGGTCTATTGATAACCTTAATATTTTTCTGTTGGATTGAAGTTTTTGTTGATATGTGATCTTACTCAGTTATTATTTTCTCTGCTGGTTGGGAAATTCTCAATTTCATTTCAGTCTTCAAAAGATTATCCTGAAAATACACAGATTCTTCACAGTTTTAGTGTCAATCAGTAATGAAAGTGTTCTAATCCCTTTCCAGAAAACTGCAAAACTCACAGGGCACAAAAACAGCCTAATAACAAATTCTGTATGTGTTCTTTTCAATATTTCAGTTTTTAAATTTTTACCACACAACCTATTATGTTTAGAGGTGACATTTATTTAACTTTACTCATCTGTCTACCATAGCTTGTTTCTCTTCTTTACCTTTCCTCTGATATGAGTAGCTAAGGTCAGTGTTGGTCAGTTTTAGTCTGAATATTTTTGAAAGTCTATTTTTGCTTGTTGTTTTTTTAAAAAATTCTTCATCTCTCTAATTGATACAAAGAAAGTCATTTCATATTTTGAATTTGATAATGCCTGTATCTGAAATTGTTGGTCATCTAAATCTGTGTGAGTCTTTTCCTAGTCCATAGTGAATTTTAATTATGCACGAATACCTGTTTGATAGTTATGTCTTGGAATCTTATGGCCCTAAAATTGTTTGTTTGTACTAGGAATCAGGAGGACATAGGCCCAAGGTCACTTTTGTTCCCTTTTGGGAATCCTGATTTCATGTGGGGCTTTCCTGGCCTTGTCTGAAGCTGAAGTCCTCGCTATCCTACCACAAACACACTGTTGCCTGAAGGCACAAGGCATGTCCAACTTCCTTTGCTCAGGTTTCAGTGTACAGTTACTGCCATATCTTCTGGAGACCTGTTTTTCAGCCAGTAGTTAGCCAGTGCATTAAATTTAGTAAAAACCACGTCCAGCTTCTAATTAATCATATCAAGCATCTTATCAATCATAATTTCTAAGGTTGGAGTGTCCAAGCAATTTTTAAAAATCAGCTTTATTACTAATTTTTAAAAATCATGTTTATTACTAATTTTCTTAAATCCATTGGACTATGCACAATACATTCTTTCACCCAGGTATAGAAAAATACTGAAATATGGCTCTCTTTGAAAGTTAGCTAAACCACACCTGTACTCATGTCACATCCATATCCTTTTACTTTTGCCTATATTCTTTGTCTAGTTAGCCTGTCGAATCTTTACTTCCTTAGAAATTTGAGTCTGCTTCTGGAATAACTTTTAAGAAGATAGTTTTTCTTCACCATTCCTTTATTATGACTCCCAATGTTTTGACTGCAAAGTGTCATTTTTCTTTTTCTGTCCAGAAACTTAGATATACAAGATTCCATTGCGGATCTTTGCCTGTGTATCTTGTCCTCCTCAAGTGGAGTGAGCAAATATGTTTAAAGTTGTAAGTTAGAGGTATCATCTCTGAAAACTCCATGTTGTCATACTCTATATTTCCTTAATAGGTATAGAAATTAGCATGAAGGTTTTGGTCTATAAAACATGGGCCTCTGAGACATGAAAAAGATTTTGTTAATGGATATCAACTGAAGTCACTTATACAATAGTATTTTATTCATTCTGCAGCAGAAGTATCACCTGTTGACAACCATACCTTTTCAGTCTATACATATCTGACCAGTGTGAGTGACTTAGCAATCTGTGATAAAAATATCTGCGTTGAATAGATGATGGCTGGATCCTCATGTCAGCTTCAACCTTCAGTCTGTTGCAGTATCAGGTGTGATGAGGTTCTTAAGTTATTCTCGAGAGACTGAGCAATAAAAAAAGCACATAGTAATAGTGTTACTATTATTACTATTTAGTATTACTACTAAAAACATTTTTGCCTCATAGACTACCTAAAAGTGTGTTGGTGACAACCAGGTTCTCCAGACCCGTTTTGAGAACTTCTGGGCTAGAATATAGAGACATGGTCACACCTAGATGTTATTCTGGGAGTTGGGTAACAGAGGTGTTTTGTTACTATGGAAGAAAGGTCATGGATAGTAAGGACTGAAGATTTAATGATCTTAAATTCTTGTATTATCCAAATTTGACATACTTGGCAGGTAGACAGTCAGTACATTGTTGGTTTCCTTTCTCATTGCCCTTGTATTAAAGCTAGGAAAACGGGCTTTTTGCTTAGCCTGCATCATTTAGAAATACCTACAAGAAAACACAATGGTATGTAGGCAGAGGCATAATTGCAGTGAATTACATTTTTAGCATTTGTAGAAATATCATTATAAATTATCTTTTGTTTTGTGTTCACAGGCAGCTTTTTGATAATCTTGTTTGGGTCTTTTGAACTTAGCAACATGCTTCCTTTTCTTGGGTAAGAGGGAAGTTGGAATTGAAATGAGATTTAAGACTCAGTTTTGATTCACATTTATTCATGGGTTTGAAAACACAGGGGTGTGACATTTCCTCTGGGTCATTGTGAACAGTTTCTCCTGTCCCTGGAACCTTATGTTGCTGAAAAATAACCCAGTTCCAGAAGTTGCAGATGTGAAAGCAGTTACGGATATTTGTGTTAAGTCTTTCATATTACCAAAAAAATGTATGTGAATATAGTAAAAATAGCTTGGGCACTAGTAGCTTAATTTTTTTTAAAAAGATTTATTTATTTGTCCATACAGAGTTGGGGTGCAGGCCAGAAATGCGGAGGGTGAGAGGCAGAGCAGAACAGGCAGATCGACGAAGTACACTGCTGAGGGGAGCAGCGGGCGGGTCAGGAGAGGTCTGCCACACCATGTGGTCACCTCCGGGGCAGGCGGGAATCGAGCTCATGCGGAAGTGGCCCAAGCTTCTTAGTGCTGTGCTTTAACCCGCTGCGCCACCAGGGAGGGCCCACTAGTAGCTTAATTTTAACCTTAGTGTAAAGCTTAATTCTGGTCTCATTAATTGATGACTATGCCTTTAATGCATTTTGGTGCTATCGTTGTCTTTAAATCAGTTTTTGAGTACTTGTTGGGTGAGAAATAGTAAGAAATATTTTAAAATCCTGTTGATGGTCTTGAATTATTTTTCCACCCTCGGGATGGGAGAAGTCTTGTGCCCTTTATCCCTCAGGTTGTGAATTCTTTAACTGATCTGATTGGGAAGGCGAGTTTTAGTTTGGGGTTCATGGTGAAGCAGCAGCACAGGGCGGTTTTAGCCACTGGCACACTCGCGGGGAGACAGCACATTTTTTTTGGGAGCTGTACATGGTGGATTCTCTAGGGACTAGAGGACAATGCCAGTGTCTGATGACATTTCTCACCAGGAGCTAAGAAGGGATGTTTTACTTGATTTTGCTTTTTTTTGCCCCAGAGGCCACTGAAAACCAACTTGCCACCAGTTTGTATTTCACCTTGTAGTGTACTTTGTTACCAGGAAGCAAGGTCCTTCTGGCTGAAACCTTGGTTGAAACTATGAGAATGGAGGCACTTGGTGGAACGTGAACTTGTGGGATGGGGAAAGGTTGATACTCAGCACCTTGTATCTGAGGGACTCAGTGTTTTTAGCAACTAGCAAAGGATTAGCAGCATTCATTACCCATAAATGGGTACCGAGAAGTTTCAAGTGAAACCGATAGAAAGATATCCTTGTTAAGGTATTGGCTCAGTCAGTAACTGTATTTCAATATAGTCAGTAGCCTGCCATAGTACTGGCAGTTCTCTGAGCCTGCTGTCCTTGAGACTGGCTAGATGTTCCAGGAGGGGATACTTGGATGACCTGCTGCCTTCTTTCAGGGAGTTTATTTTCATGCCCACATATCAGCCCGTTCTTCTCATGGTCAGGGTGCTGGTTTAAGAAAGTCTTGACTAGAAACCATGTGATGATTTATTGCAACAGTGAGTGGTTTGGAAATAAGGGCTGGACTAATTTTCTGATAG